CCACTGCAGCCTTCTGCCCGAGGTCATTGGGGTGAGAGGAGGCACAGGGCCTTTTGTAGTGCTGGGCAATCATGATGGGGCATGTGGGTGCTGGCAGCAGGGATGTGCTCCTGCAAGCCCACCATGGAGGGAGAGCTGAGGGCTGGGGCAGGCTGACCCTGCTCAGGGTGATCCCAGCAGCAGCTTTGACTCTCCAGGATGGGGCTCTCCTGCACTAAGCTCGGACAGGCAGCTTTGGCCAGGTATGAAGGACAACAGGGAGGGTTTGCTCTGTTRTCCCCGGCCATAGCTCCTGGCCCCAGCCCCACGCTGGGGTATGCCCCAGCTTCCCCCCTGCACATGCTCAAAAARCCTCAAGCAAAACTCCATGCTAGGCCAGTTCACAGGATTGTCCAGGGCTACCCTTCACATGGATCCTCTTATATCCAGGCCTGGTGTGGGAGGAAAATGCACTAAGCAGCTTCGTCCAGTATTCCCCAACACATTCCCCATACAACAAAGACCAGCAGGGAAAGAGAGAAGTGTGGAAGTTATTCACAGCCACCACTGTGGGCACCTCAGTCTCCACTGGGAGAAGAACTCAAGGAMACCTGGCAGGGGAACTTGTCGCTGCTTGGGGTCTGCAGACCTCCCTGGCATTTGGTTACTCAAACGTGTAAGCAGAAGGGGAAGCCTGAGGGGGGCTCTGCTCCTTACCTGGAGATGTTGCATTTGTCACCACAGCTGTGCTGGGAGATGTTGTAGGTGCAGTACTGGATTCTGATGAAGGGAAAAGAAGAGACATGGGAGCATTGCGAGCATTGTCTGTTCAAAAAGCCTTTGGGAATTCCATATGTGTCGGGCAACCACTGAGAAGGGAAATGCTGGTAGACCCTTGTGAGGCTGAGTGGCCAAAGCCCTGAGCACCCTTGCCCAGTGCCTGGACTCTCCCTGGATGAGATGCCTCTGTCATCTGACATGGCCATGACCCCCTGGCCTCCAAAGTCCAGGGCTTGAGCACATGGACCACACACACACTGCAGAGTCCCCAGCTTCTCTCTGCTCTGTGGCCACAGCTGTCACGTCCAGCTGGAACCAGCCTGTGGCATAACACCCTGCATGATCTGGTCACAGGATTTCCTTGGGCATTTCCATGGGGATTCCCTTCTATGCAGGCCTGATGCAGGAGGTAAAGGCACTGAGCACAAACACAGCAGCCTCCTGCACTGTTGCCCAACATATTGTCTATAAAACAAAGACCAGCAGGGAAAAGAGGGAAGAGCGGAAATTATGCAGGGCCATGAGCTGGGCACCTCTGTCTCCCATGGGAGAAGAACTCAGGGAAACTGGGGCAGGGGAACTGGGCCCTGCTTGGGGTCTGCAGAGCTCCCTGGCATTTGGTTAATTCAATCTCTAGCCAAAAGGGGAGGCCTGAGGGAGGCTCTGCTCCTTACCTGTAG